TTCTCTCTCAAATAAATAAATAAAAAAGCTTTAAAAAATTTATTTATTTGAGAGAGAGAGGGAGAGTGCATGCATGTGCATGGGGGGAAGGGGAGAGGGAGAGGGAGAGAGCGAATCTCAAGCAGACTCTGCCCTGAGTGTGGAGCCTGACCTCATGATCCTGAGATCATGACCTGAGTCTAAACCAAGAGTCGGATGCTTAACTGACTGAGCCACCCAGGCACCCCTTATTTTTGTTTAAACCCCCAGATCACCTAGGATCCTCCCACTCCATTCCTCATGCAAAGCCTATTCAAAAAGTAGTCAAAACTCAGGGTGCCTGGGTGGCCCAGTCAGTTAAGCATCTGACTCGTGATTTGACTCAGGTCATGATCTCAGGGTCATAGGATCAAGCATGAGCTGGGAGTCTGCTTGTCTCCCTCTCCCTCTGTCCCTCCCCCCTCCCCTCTCAAACGAGTATGGGCTCTCTCTTTCTCTAAAATAAATAAATCTTAGAAAAAAAAAAAAAGGTAGTCACAACTTAGTTCAGCCTAACCTTCCTGGGGTTAGGTAATCAGATCGATTGATCCATACCTGTAACGCTGGAGTGACTCAAGGATCTTACAAAAGTTTACTCATCAGCCATTCATGGTATAACCATCTTATCCAGGCAAGCTTTCTGTTACAATAATTAGAAACTCTGATTCAAAATAGTATAAGCAGTAAGGGCATTTGTCATTTCCCATTAACATAAAGTCTGTAGTAGGGCAGTTCAAGATGCAGGATCTCCAGACCCTAGGTCTGCTTCTGATTTTCTTGGTTCTAACCACGTTCAGATTTGGGCTTCATTTTTTCTCTCAGTGGTGTCTCAACGTCTGCAACCACCCCAGGCTTCACATCCAGTCATGACAACGCCCAGTGGAAGAAGGACTGTTATTTTGTGTGTGTGTGTCCCATTTTAAGAACAAAGAGCACTTCCTCAAGGAATCTTCCAAGAGATTCTCCTTCCCATCCCCACCCCATTGGGTCACATGTCCACTCCTAAAGCAAGCACCAGCAAGAATGGGGCAAGCCATGCCCAACTTAGACCAAGCAAGATTGTGGCTTTGTCTTCAGGAAGAAGAAAAAATGACTCCTGGGAGCCATTCGAGCAAATGTGGACTAAAATTCAGAAAAAAGCAGCCCTTTCTAAGATCCTGAGATAATGGACATTTATGTGATGGATAAACTCAGCACACATGATGTGCTGAGCATCTTCTGGGAACTGGGATTAGGGATGCGAAGGTGAATATTGTATGGCTCTGCCTGGCGGTGCTCAGTCTAGAGAAGGAATCAGAACTAAGCCATCATCGGATTTTAACCTGGTTCCTCAATAGCATTCCTACAGAGAGAGAACAGGGTTTTCAGTTATGATGAGAATTTCACTTTTTTCCCCCGAGTGTTATTGAGATATAATTGACATATAACATTGTATTAGCTTGAGGTGTACAACATGATTTCATACAAGTATATATCACAAAATGGTTACCACAGTAAGTTAATATCCATCACCTCACAGTTGTTTTTCTTGTGATTTCAAATATATAATACAGTACTGTGAACTGTAGTCACCATGCTGTACATGACATCCCCAGAACTTATTTTTTTTTAAAGATTTTATTTATTTATTTGAGAGAGAGAATGAGATAGAGCATGAGAGGGGGGAGGGTCAGAGGGAGAAGCAGACTCCCCGCTGAGCAGGGAGCCCGATGTGTCTGTGTGGGTTTTTTTGATTTCATGCCTAAGTGAGGTCATACAATATTTTTCTTTCTCTGTCTGATTTGTTTCACTTAGCATAATGTCCTCAATACCCATCCATGTTATTACAAATGGCAGGATTGCCTTTTTTTTTTTTTTGGCTGAATACTATTCCATTCCATGTATACACACACACACTGCATTTTTTTAATCCATTCATCCATCAGTGGATACTTCGGTTCTTTCCATGTCTTGACTGTTGTAAATAATGCTGCTATGAACCGGGCCGGGGTGGGGGGGCGGATATCTTTTCGAGACAGTGATTTCATTTCCTTTGGATAAATACCCAGAGGTGGAATCGCTAGATCATATGGTAGTTCTAGTTTTAATTTTTTGAGGAAACTCCATACTGTTTTCCATAGTGGCTGCACCAATTTACCTTCCCACCGACAGTGCAGACGGGTTCCTTTTTCTCCACGTCCTCGCCAACACCTGCTTTTTCTTGTCTTTTTGGTAATACCCATTCTAACAGGCATGAGGTGATATCTATCTCGCTGTAGTTTTGATTTGCATTTTTCACTACTTGTTGGTCAAGAATTTCACTTTCTTGCTCTCTCTCCCTGCCTTCCTTCCTACCTTTTTCTCTTTTCTTTTTTTTAACCATTCACTTAATAAAAACCTACTGAATGCCTCCCCTGTGCCAGGCACAATGCTCTAAATCCCAGCTTCAGAGAGCTTACATCCTAGCTTAAATGGTTTGATGATTGTCTTTCTTGTTGTCCATGAATAATTATGGACTTCCTTCTCATTTTAAAATTCTTTGTGATTTTGGTTAGCATCCGCAGGAAACGAGACACCTCTGGGCCTGTGGACTCAGGGGCCACCATTGGTGCTGCCATGGAGGTTTGTCATGTGCTGCCTGAGGCTGGCCAACTGGCTTCCCTAAATGACACTTCTGTCATAACCACATGGGAGCCAACAGAGGGTTTTTTAAGTGGTGGGATGACATGATCAGCATTAGCCTATCTCTGAAAACGGAAACTTGAAAACAAAACACATTAAAAAAATTTTTTTTGAATCAACCCACAGCAGAACTTGGATTTTAAGTTAATTTCTAACTGGCCCGTAGGCGCTGTTGGTCTCAAAGGTTCCTCTCTGGCCTTGGGGGCCTCTGTCAGGTAAGCAGTTTCCCCGCACATCTGTAATGACTTGCTTCACTCCCTGCTTTGAGCCTACTTTTGAGTCGACTCCTGCTTAGGCTTTGGGTCATTCTTCCAGGAGAATTTCAAGTGGAAAGATCAACATCTCGAGGCTTCTGGCCTCTAGTGTCTATTTCCAGGACTCAGTCATAGCATCCTCTCCTTGGGCACTCTCCACCTGCTCAGCTTTAATCACGACCTATAATCTGATAACTCCCAGGTCCTTTGCACCTCTCTCCCAAGCCCCAGTCCTGCACGGTGAATTCTAGCATACTAATTGTTTTCTTACTTGTGTATTACCTTCTCTCCCATGAGAATGTGAGTTCCCTGAGAATACGGGTTTTGGCCTGTTTTGTGCACAACCATTGGCCCAGCACCTGTAATCTGTCTGGATGTCCCAAAGCTCTTCAGATTCATTTTCCTCTGCCCATAACCCCAGACTTGCTTGTGTTTTTGTATTCCTTAAAACCGTCTGCTACTAGTTCCTGTGGTCAGAAATCTGAGTGTTATCTTCAGTGCCTCCCTCACTGGCAAATCCATCACTAAAGCCTGCCCTGCCTAAGGCTCACTGGGGCCCACCCCCCTCCTCGCTTCCTGTCATGCTCTAGTGTGGGTCCCTTCTGAACCTGAACCATTACAGAGTTCTCTTTAGCCTGTTTCCAGCTTGTTCTCCTCACTGACCTAAGGGTGATTTCCCCCCTTGAAATATACATACTGGTTTGCTTTTCCCACAAAATTGGGACCATAGTGCATAATCAATTTTATGTCCATTCTTTCTGCATAAAGTAAATCTTGCAAGCATCATTCTATATGCTCTGGAAACTTTCCATAACTGCAACTGTCTACCGTAGCTGGGGGTGAGCCACGATTTCTTCTATCATTTCCTTAATGAGGTCGTTTCCAGGTCTTTTTGCTCTTACAGATAATGCTGTGATTCATCTTTATGGTCCTTTCAAAATGCAAATCTGGTCATGTCACTCTCTTGCTTAGATTCTGTCAGTGCCTCCTTGTCATGGAAGGCCAGTGTTCTCTGACTCCTTGATATGGCCCATAAGGCCTTTCATCTGGGACCTGCCTACCTCCCTCATGTCTTGCCCACACACAACCCAAACCTTAGCCGTTCCTTTACCTGCAGCTCCCAAATGACAGCCACCCTGACTTTTTTGCTTTCGCTTCTTTCTATGTAACATCTCACCCTCGTCTTCCCAGAAAAGCCTACTGCTATGTTCAGATCCTGAGCATTCCTTATCTATAATGATGCCCAGAGGTGATATCCATTAAGCCAGAGTGGCCTTTGGGATCCAGGCAGCCAGTGCACTGACATATGATTTTCAAGATGGCTTAGTCCAGGCTCCAGGTGCCTTCTCAGAGCTTTCGGATCTAGAAGCAATTCCTATGCCTGTGGTCAGATGTGAATGTGGAGGCAGGAGAGTGGAGCCAAGGCTAGGCTGGCCTGCTCTCCTTTCTTGGTGAACTACGGTGTTTAGAGGGGCCACAAGCCCTGATGGGATCCACTTGCAGAATATAGTGGCCAGCCATCCTTCATCCTCCCACTCCTAGGAGTACCTTGTGGCACTCTAAATGGAATGGCCAACTATTAGGGCCCATGGGTCAAGTGCAGTCCACCATATTTTGTACCTCCCACGAACTAAGTGGTTTTTACATTTTTAAGTGATTGAAAAAAAATCAAAATCAGATTTTGTGATGTGAAAATATATAAAATTTAAATTTTAGTGTCCATAAATAAAGCTTTATTGGAACACACTCTCATTTATATATTGTCTTTGGCTGCTTTTGCTCTACGATGGAGGAGCTGAGTAGTTGTGACAGACTGTCTAACTGACGAGCCTAAAACATTGACTCTCTGGCCCTTTACCGTTTGCCAAGCCCTTATCTAGACAGTGCTGCAGTCGGGGAGGTAGGAGGCAGGTCAGAAGAGCACTCTGAAAGATGAAATGAGAGGGTTTCTTAGGAAGGAAGCTTGTTTATAGGGCTTGATGGGGCAGCAAGGATCAAATATATGAAGGCTCAACATGGAGGAGCCCCTCTACCCACTCTTTGAAAATGACTATGTGGGAGACAGAATCTGATTTAAAAAACTTCACATTTTATTTTACATAATATGGTCACTTGTTGAGTTGAAGGCATGGAGCTTAAAAGCTGTTCTGATACAGACTCTGAACAAAATGCCTCCCCTCCACCCCCGAGCACTTTTAATGACTGGCTCATCGTTGTGTACACAAGACATTTAATTATCAGACCTGAAGATGCTAACAACAGTGATAACTTACAAATTCTGAGAAAAGGCCTATGTAGGCAAAGTGTAAGAGTTTTTTTTTTTTTTTTTTACTAAATCGGTGTAGTGTACTCTTAAAATGACATATTCACAAACAGAAGTTAGAAAAAAAATTAAAATGCACTTATGAATTTTTTTCTTGCCACCTGAATTTAAATTCAGGTCTCCTTTCCTACAAGAATGCAAAAAAGACAAGGCAACTCCACTGGGGTTAGGTTATAGATCACTAGATGTTAGAAATAGTTTCCTCTGAAGGAGAATGCACTTATTTTTAAGTTAGTAGCACACTTCACATATTAACCACCCTAAAGTTAGAAAAGCCACTTTTTGAAGGCACAGTTTGTTCCTAGCTCGACTGTGGAAATAAAAACGTGTCTTATAGACCCCATCTGGCAAGAAGGGGCGAGCTCACTGGTCTTGTCCACGGTATCAAAGCCCACCCACAGCCAACTCGGGCCTGGGCACCTCTAAGCGTCTCCATGAGATAGATGTGTCTAGTCTAGAGCATAGAATGTGTTCGTTTTGATTATAATCATCATGTGCAAGGATTCTGGAGGCTCCAGGTTTCCCTTTGGTCTCTGAAAATGCAAACAACTTTGCTTTATAAAGTAGAATCGACAACTGGTCCTTCATGGGCATGCGGACAGAGGGGGAACCCAATAGAAGGAAGCTGCTGAACCAGCATGTAGCTTGGAGACAGTTCCTCAGTCGAGGCCTTCGTGAAAGAGGGTCTAAACAAGAGTGAATAAAACATATGTGTAAAGTGTCAGAAGACACATTTCTAGAAGAGGCTGTGCTTTCCTTCTATATGCTTGGGGGGAAGGAAAGGAGGGGCAACTGGCTTCAATGATCTCACAAAAGACAGGGAAGGGCACAAATATCCCATGCCACTTTGCTTCAAGTCAGTGAAATCACTAATCTCATTATGCAAATGGAAGGCTGTGGAAGAGAATGGTGGTGGCCTTTACATGTATAATTTGTTTGAAAAAAATAAATCTGCATCTGAGATATAATGACTAAACTCCATGAGCCTCTGCCTGATGATGAACAAAAACAGCTATCATGACATACATGGAAGGTGTTAGGAAAAAGTCAGGAACAATCAGGAGTGGAAACGTATACACATGGGCTACTCTGCGTTCTGGCTTCATGCTTGTCAGCAGCCTTTTTGCTGAAAGCCCTCTGAACTCATTTTGTTTGAGCTAGGTATAGGTTTAAAATTCTTCCTTTTACCAGTTAGTTAAGAGAATAATCATGATGAGCTCATCTTAAAAACACCTAACCTGACTACCTCTAACTGTGTCCTCACGTACTGGGATATTCATAATGACGTCCATCAGACTCCACGAGGCTGGAACGTGACAGAAAGTTGTACTTGCCGATGGAAGCTGTCAGTTTTGAGGAATGTCATGCATCACGGACTAGAACTTCTACAAATGAACTGCTACATAAATACTGATGCATTGTTGCAGCATTTCAGAGTTTCTTTCCTTTAAGGGACTTTGTTTATAGATTATAGAACCCAAGTGGTGAAGGTCACATAGACAGCACCATGTGTCAAGGTGAAACACATTGTTGTTTTAAATTTTCTGACCTAACCTTATTAAAATCAGCCTCTTTCACCGTCTTCAAAATATTGTAATTAATCTGCTTTTTACAAAGACAAGGGTCCTGTGGCTTCAATTATTCTGCTGGAGGTACCAACACAAAGACATTAATCTCGTTACAGAAATCAATTTTAATGAATGTCACTTTACAAAGAAAGAATCACTTAAAAGCAGTCATTAAAATTGATTTCTGTAAGGAGATTAATGTCTTTGTGTAGAACAAGCTGGGCCAGTTAAAATGATAATGTCTGGGCTTTTTTTTTTTTTTTTTTTAAAGCCAACAAGTCAGCATCATTTCTGGCCTTTCAATCCTCCAACTGGGGTGGCAGAGAACCAAGAGATGAGTCAAGTCATCTTGCAAGAGGTCAAGAAGAATGGGTGGGAATCCTAGATGGGTCAGGAGACCCCAGGCACTGAACAAACACTGCCACCCCCGAGGCTGGGTCAAGGTGCTCCCCAAAGGGGAGGAGCACACAGTGGAGGCACTGTCTGTATGATGCTCCAGTCCCACAAACCGTAGAGGGGCCCCTCCAGTCGGCCAGCCGGGCAGGCTTGAGATAGTGGCACATCTATCCCTAACCTTGGACAGCGACTTAGAGGTGTGAATGCATGGGGAAGCAGGGCTCACCCAATTCCCTGCGCATTTCCAGGCATCATGGTGAGCGGTGCTGATCTGAACCCCTCCTACTAAAATGCATGCTAAGGATGGAGGTCAGGAGGGAAGAGGTGACATCAGTCAACCGAACAGCAAATGCTGATACTTTCCATTTCTGAACACTAATCCTTTTCCAGGGTGTTGAGAGAATCACAGTGTGAACCTAACACTGATCCTTTTCTGGGGTTTGAGAGAATTGCAAATGTGCTCTGTGTGTTGGTAGGCCAAGGTGTGGGAAGGACCACCCCCCCCAACAGAGAGATTGGTGGTTCCAGGATTGAAATTCTGCCCACCTCCTTCCATATGCTCGTGAAAGTGAGAAACTCAACTGTTCCTCTCATGCCGGCATGCTCTATCAAAGGCCCAAGATACTCAGGGCCAGGCTACAGTGCTCAGACTAAAACTCTAAGCATTCAGTTCAGAGAACAGAGAGGCAATGGCTCTAAAAAAAAGTGGGACATACACTTCTCATAACGACATCTCCTGGGACCCGCTCTATAATGATAACATTTGCAAACACATATTACGTTACACACTAAAACAATATAAACCAACTTTGGGGGAGTTTGAAAGATCTTTGGGCTCTTTTCATCACAACGGAGTGGAGAGCCTTCTCTGTGTTTAAAGTTGCCTAACTTTTCTTTCTGTGCTTTTTATATTGACATCTAACTTGTCCACTTTGGTTGTGAGGCGGTCAAGAATGTCATCTTGCTCCTCGATTTCCATCTGCATCCCCAGGGCTATGTCCTTCAGCCGGCCTAGTCCCACGGATAGCTCATCTGTCGGGGAGGGAAAGGACACACAGTGCTGAGCGAAGTCACAGCATCAAGGGCTGCTGCTCATTCCGTGCCCGCTGCTCAGCAACACTCCCATCACCGAGTCCTCTTTCTCATAAGACAGGTAAAACTCTAGGGCTTTGGTTACGTTTTCCAAAACACGTGCAAGTAAAAAGAAAACCCGCTGACTCCATATAAAGTAATGTGTGCGTCACGTAAAGCCACTCCTCCCCCAGATGTCTGCCCAAGATAACTGCTGTTAATACAATGGTGTCTGTCCTTCCTGCTTTAAAAAATGCATACAGATCTACATAATTTTTCAGCTGCCTCTGAACGTTCTAGTAGGTTGCGGCACGTTGCAAGATCAGTTAGTACCCGAGAAAAAGAAGTACAAAGGGACCTAGAAAACACATTCCCTCCCCAGACCCCATGGTGAGTACCTGGGAGAGGTATGCAGGTAACCAACAGCCAGACCCGCTGGCCTGCTCTTCAGGAGCAAAAACCCCACATCAGTGGGTAGAACTCAACAGTACCAGCTTTCCTTCCGTCTCCAGCTCCCTAAAGCTAGATCAAGCACAGATTTGGAGTAGCAAGCATGAGGATCCCTATTTGGAAACACATCTGGGAGACAGACCTGGGAAGCCCCTGTCCAAAGGGAGCCCCCACACCTGGGTTACTCCTGCCCCAGGCTCCCCCCTGGAGAAGGCCGCATCCCACCCCTCCTTCCACTCTGCAGGCGGCAAGAGAAATGGGGGCTTTGTTCCTGCCTTGCCACCTGGGGTGCTCTCCCAGAAAATACATGGACTACAGATGTTCCCACTGGACCCAAATGCTGTGAGGTCTTGTCACCTATGTTATGATAATTCACATTTTCCTATGTCAATTCATTCATTGCTACCACTTCTCAGATCCATGAACACATCGATGCTGTGAATGTCCTGGGGCACGACACAACCTGAATTGGGCCAGCACCATTTCCTCTGTCTACTCTGCAGCCCGGAAGAAGCTGGCTATGGAGGTCCCTGCAGTCCAGGGTCCCCGTGTCAAAAGGAACAAAGGGCTGAAGGTGCTGGGTCCCTTCAGAGATGCTGCCTGGGGCCAGCCCCACAGGGACTGTGGAGCACACAACTTTTGGCAAAGGTTCAGCCCTAGCGAACCTAGAGAACAGGAGGTGCTTCATAAGCCTTTTTGTGGCTGAATTAAAGATAAAACATTAAGTAAAAAAAGCTCAGAATACACACACACTTGGCACTAGCACCACAAATCTAAGCAGAATCAAGTCTGTTTTTCAAACGTTGTCTTAAGCTCTATGCTTCTTGAATTTACTGACACCAGTGACCTTGCATTCCATGGAGAGTAAAGTCTGTGCGGTCACCCCAGGCCTCAGGGAGTGCGCTGGCAGTTGGGACAGAAAAGGACAAGCAATAGGTATACTGAGATTAAAAAAAAAAAAAGAAAAAGTGTGATAAAGTAAAGCCACCAGACAAGGAGCTGCCGTCAGAGGGAGAGTTGCACTAGTCCCTGAGATAAAGGTGGGGGTGGGAGGTGTGGGGAGTGTGGTAAGAAGGAAGGAGCAATCTTGTGAAGGGCAGCCGGGCACAGCCTGAGTCAGTGGGCCCCATGGCTCGAGTGCCACCCCAGCCCTTCTCAGCATGCCGCACTGCATCCTGCTGGGACCGGCCTGCCCACGCTGTAGTCTCGTGCCAACTGCACCACCTGAGCCTCCGGGGATGGGCTGTACTTACTTACCCTTTCTCCCCACCTCACTCCCTGAACTCCAGGCCCCTCCATAGGTCTCCCCCTTCCCTCTCCAGCTGGTGCCAGTGACACTATTTGGGTAGGGAAACCTTCAGTGGGGAGGCTTTCAAGTCCCTCTGTATGTCTCTGGAGTGGTCACATCCCAGCACATGCATCTTCTGCCTGAGGCCTTTGGCTCTGGAGGGCAGAGTCCAGAGGACCCAGTAAAGGGGTGGCTCCCTGGGGCTTCCCTGGGCTCTGAAGGCAAAGGGCAGGTGGGGTTTGGGGTGGAAGCCTGACTGGGTGTGCAGAGTGTGGAGATGGGCCTTCTCCCCTGCTGCCGGCAGGCACTGGCCATGCAGGCCTGGTGCCGATGTTCGCACGGAGGACGGCGGCGGCGAGCTGTCCGGTGGGCAAATTACGATTCTTTTCTTTGTTCTTGCTTATGTCTGTTGTCTCCAATTGACGTCTCATTTCTGTGGAGATCTCTTTTAGTGCTCTTTTCCCTGACTGTGTAATTCCATTTCTAGCAACCTAGGTACAAAGTGCAGCCAAAGATTTGCTCACAGGAATGACCAAGGGACTATGTGCAGGAGCGAATGATGAGAATAACCTAAGTGTCCAAGATCAGGGCGTGGGACTGCTAAAGTGGTGCTTTTCAAAGAAATTTTAAGAGACAAGAGGTTTAGGGAAGTGTTCAAAACATAAATAAAAGAGCAGGATATGGAAGTGTACATACTGAATGATATCATACATCTGACATTGTACATCCACGTATGTACATATGTATGTGAAAAACAGAAGGAATGACACCAAATCAGTGGCTACTACTGGACAATAGGATTCCAGGTGTTTCTTTCCTCATGGCATTTACCTAACTTCATAATTTTTTATGATGAATCTAAATACTCAGACACAAAGGCTAAATGTTGTTAAAAAGAAAGAGTGTGGATTCGCCTAACGGGCTGTTCGCTTCAGGCTGCTAGGAATGGCCACCGCTCTGGGCGAACCAGGGGAGGGGCCCTCAGTGTCCTTCCTGTGGGGAGACAGGAGGAGGAAGTCTGAGCATAGACGCTCAATGTGCATCATCATGGGCCTCAGTTTTGTCTCCAACTAGATACCTTTAGAGCAGGGGGAGATTTTACTTGGGTCTCACCCACTTTGCCATCTCCCAACAGGGATGGGAGACTGATAGCGACCCAGGGAACCGTGGGGGAGGTTCCTGCTCATGGGGTGAAGGTCAGAAGAGGCAGCACATCTGAGATGCCACCTAGAACGAACTCATGGAAACCGCTCCACGCCTGCTCCTACGGCCCACACACACTACCCCACTTGAACTTCAAGTAACTAGCTTCTCTCCCTCCGCTCAAAAGGGCACAGTGGTGACAAAACTGAAATAGTCCTGTGTTCCCTGGAATTTACAGTGTGGTTAGAAGACACCAGATAAGCCAGCAGGTATGTGACTCCAACAGGGTGCAGCGCGTTAAAGCCAGGCCCGCAGCAGGAGAAGGAGCCAACCTTCAAACAGAGCGGAGGAAGGACACTCCGGGCAGAAGCAGGCAGGGGCGGAAAAGCACTTGGAGCCACAAATGACGAGGGCAGGAGGGGTGGAGAGGCAGGCGGGGCCAGAGGCCCAGCAAGGGACCTGGAATACAAAGAACCCAGCTGTGCGGCCCGTGTCTGCTGCAGTGGCCACGTGAGTGGCCCGCTCTTACCAGGTCGGGTGGTTCCCCATGGGATGTATGGGGTTGCTCATCTAACCCTCTCCCCCATTCTCAGGGGCGGGTTCTGTTCCTGAGCCCCATTCACAGAGAGATGACGATGGGGCTCTCACTGCTGCACTGTGCGGCCCCTCGGGGACTCCCGGTCCCTGCTGCTGTCACAGCCCAGATAAGATAACAGGAGTGGACAGACTTGAGGGAGAGAGAAGAGTGAAGTGGCCGTGACCATACTGGATTTGACATGTGGGGAGGGCGAGGCAGACACCATGGTGTGGTCCCGAGAAACTGCGGGCTACTGGTAGGCTGGCTGGGCCCCGCTCGGGCTGTCGGGAACACAAGCGACCTGAATAAGTGACCTGTGGAGGCTTGCGGGGCTTCAGGCTTACCTAGATTATTATCGATCTTCTGGTGATAGGCTCGAAGGTGTGGGTTCTTCGGGTAAGCCTCGGTACTCACGGCAGGACCGGTCCCTCCAGCGATGGGGTCTGAAATTGCTTTTCATGTTTCAAAAAAAAAAACCAAGCAGGATGTGAGGTTTGTTTGTTTTTCCAAACTATATATGTTTTTAATTTAAATTCAATTAATTAACATATAATGTATTATTGGTTTCAGGGGTCCAGGCCTGTGATTCATCAGTCTTATAACACCCAGTGCTCATTACAACACATACTCACCCCAGTGTCTATCACCCAGTTAACCCATCTCCCCACCTCCCCCTCCTCCAGCAACCCTCAGTTTGTTTCCTGAGATTAAGGAGTCTCTTATTGTTTGTCTCCCTCTCTGGTTTCGTCTTGTTTCATTTTTTCCCTCTCTTTCCCTATGATCCTCTGCCGTGTTTCTTAAATTCCACATATCAGTGAGATCATATGATAATTATCTTTTTGTAGAAAGCAAAAAACTTTAAGTGATCGTTGATGTTAAAATAGAAGTGCATACATCTTATTTATTCATTTTTTGAAACGTACACTTTAGTTCTTTCAAAGTGAAAGAACCTAAATCTTCCCTAAAAAGGCTTCAAGCGACAGAAGCTAATAAGTGAATTTTTATTGGTTACAAAAAAAAATCAAAAATCAAAATCAAAATAGCTATGTTATGGAAATAGGATCGTGGATGACTTTCTCTTCTTCTAGAAATGTATTTCTATGCTCTCTTTCTGCTTCAAATACAACAAGCAAGGAAAGAAGAAATGCTAAATAATGCACATTCACCCCGAATCTTCCTTGAACTGCAGTTTCTAAATGCACATAGAAAAGCCCTATCATCCCAGTTTCTGTCTTTTGGGGGAACTTTTCTTTCCAGACTTGGTGTATTTCCTCTGGCCACAACCTACTGAAGCCATTCCACACACACGGTGTCGTCTTTTTTATTTTTTTTTAAGGCTCTTCAGTTACTACACGCCGTGCAAATTAAAACTCCCTTTAATTCCTTGAAATTGTGACTTTTGGGTGCAGGCCTCCTACTCTACTTCTTCGGGCTATGCTGGGCTTGGACTTTCTGTGAGCCTTGCATATTTTTCTCTCATTTCCTCCCATGGCTTTCACCTTTACAGACTAAACTGTGGTGATCTCCAACTTTCCTGACCCTGGCTCTTCCTCCATCAGGCCTCTCCTTAGCTATGTCAACCAGGAGAGTGGTGGGTTCTGGAACGTCCAGGGCGCATCCTGCTTTCCTCAAAGGGAGCCCAGGAAGCATTCGGTTCCTGGCACCATCCAATGTGCCTGGCCTTCCAGGGGTCTCTGCGGGGACTCCCAGGAGGCCGAAATTCCCTTCCAGATAAGGGGTGTTTCTGGGCCTATTGTTTGATAACAAGAGGATGACAGGACACCACAATCGACCTTGCACATTTTGTTCACGCAGCTTCTTCTCTGCCCCCTCGGGCTTCGGGGCTACATGAGTCTCCCACTGCTGTGCAGCAACTACCACAGACTTATCCTTCTGTTCCGGGGCTTAGAAATCCAGGATGGGCCACACCAGGCTACAGTCAAGGCGTCAACAGGGCTGTGCTCTTCCCTGCAGCTTTTGGGGGAGAATCTGATTCCTAGCCTTTTCCAGCTTCTAGAGGTTGCCTGCGTTCCTCAGCAGGCGGTCCCTGCCTGCATTTTTCAAGCCAGCAGCGGAGCATCTTCCAATTTTTGATCATCTCTCCTCTGCCTCCCTTTCCACTTATAAAGGGGCCTTTGTGATTACACTGGGCCCAGCTGGTTAACTCAGGATAATTTCCCCATCTCAAGGTCAGCTGATTAGCAACCGTAATTCCCCTTTTGCCACAGAACGCAATATATTCATTGGGTCTGGGGATGACAGGTCATTTTTGGGAGACTCTACCCCTTACCACAGAGGTTTTCCTGCAGTTGTCTTTTCACTGCTGGAGGAGTTCAGAGCTACATGGGGCAGGAACTAATGGTGGGCAGGCTCATTTTCAATGGGACACAGGCCCCCACTTCCATATTTCATCCTCCACGGGGTGAGGGATGAGCATGCCATAACACACACACTTCCAGCTCTCTGGGAGTGGCACTGGGTCCGACACCTTTTACCTACGACAGTAGCTGGAGTCCCCGCTGCCCCCCATCCACCCCAGGGCCAATACTGGAATCCAAGTGTGGCCGAGCACAGGTCCCCACTGACCTGAGTCATTCAGCTTCCTGAGGTTTGGGTGGCTGGCCTGGTACCGTGTCTCCTGTGCTTTACTGGTACTTATGGCTTCTTTCAATCTTGGCATAAAAGTTAAGAAAAGAGAACATTCAGAAAGAGAAAATACCTACGACAATGCAGTCTTTTCAAGCAGTGCCTGTGTGCAAAAAGCAAATGCCTCCTCTGACCAAAGCAGGGATATTCATCAACAGCTCCTGGGAGTATCGCCCACAGCACAGCGAACCTCTGAGACACCTGCTTTAGAAGAGCAGCATCTGTTTAGGTGGCCCTCCTTCAGGAAAACGAGAATCCCAGGACCAGGGGGAAGAGAAGCACATGAAAGGACCAAATGGGTACTTCAGACTAGTCAGCAAACCGTGACCCCTGGGCCAAATCTGGCCCACCACCTGATTTTGTACGACCACAGCAGAGAACTGCCTTTACAGATGACCACTGGCAATGGACTGGATGATAGAAAACACTAACTTTGAACCTCCATTAATAATTTCTTTCTTCTCATTAGTAGACCTATGTTACAAAAAATTGTACTCAATTATTCCTCTTTTCGTTTTTTTAATGCTGTCATTAAAAATTTGTTATTTTCTTGTTATGTAAGTCCCTGTAAAATATCTCTGATTTTGCTTCCTGGCCCACAAAGCTTAGTCTGCCCCCTCCTGCTACAGATAGGGACTTCACAAGGTAACTCAGGAGATCCTCGGACTATGCCTAACACTCCACGCACCCCTGCGGGTATGGCAGAGGCTCCCCCGCCCCAGAAGCTGGGCCTCCCGCACAGTCTGCTCTTCTCCACCCTGCTGACTGGTGCCCTGGCCACTTCATTGACCAAGCTGGACACCAATCATTCTCCATGTATGCCCTCTCTCTGCACAGCTCCACTCCCAGCAAGCCATGCAAACATCCCCTCAATCCCCCCACAGATCCCCAAAATCCGGCCCCTCCTTCTGCCTTGCGTCTTTATCCTTACCTGAATAAGCCCCCCCCTTTCTAATCCTTACCCAAAGATGCCGGGCATCTTTCTAACATACCCTGTATGAACCTCTCCAATTAAAGTCCTTATTTATTTTTTGATTTTTTGAAAGATTTATTTATTTTAGAGAAAGAGAATGCACATGTGCGCGAGTGCAAGCGGGGTGAGGGGCAGAGGGAGAAAATCTTCAAGGAGACTCCCTGCTGAGAGCAGAGCCTGATGTGGGGTTCCATCCCATATTCCATGACCTGAGCCAAAACCAAGAGTCATATGCTGAACCGACTGAGCCACCCAGGCACCCCACTCTGGTTAAAGTCTTTTTTTTTTTTTTAAGATTTTTATTTATTATTTATTTGAGAGAGAGATCAAGAGAGAGAGCACAAGCTGGGGGAGAGGTAGAGGGAGAAGCAGACCCCTCCCGCTGAGCAGGGAGGCCGACACAGCCCAAACCCAGGACCCCAGGATCGTGACCGGAGCCGAAGGCAGATGCTCAACCAACTGAGCCATCCAGGCCTCCCTGGTTGAAGTCTTTAACAGCTCCCCACTGGCACAAGCCTGGACCCCATCAGGCTAAGGCACTGTAGGCCCCCAGAGGCCCCCAGTGCTCCAGCGATGTGTAGAACAGAGCAGAGCCTCCTGAAATCTGAGGATTTCATTACTTAGAAGCAGTGACTGGAGGTTGAGAACACACAGCTGGTTTTTCTGAGCACAGTCGTGAGCCCTTATGTGTTGCCAGGCCAGTGTAACCAGCAGATGCTTGCAGCTGAGCCCACCTGCCCTTTACCCACGCTACATACCCCAAAGCTGACTTTTTTCCTTTGTGCTCACATGTATAGAGTAGTAACACTTAAATTTACAACAAAAACTCCACTTCTTTGTGAAAAATGGCAAAAAAGCCAACTCTAGGGAGAGTGACGAATGGTTAAGAGAACTGTAAGAAGAGTTGGTGGCTCTTGGTCAACAACCAAGTCTTGAGTAAGTCAGAGTTTTTCAAATTTAGGGAGTGGTTAAATCTATGATCTGAAGGGACCTCTCCAGGAGCTTTGTTTATTTTATTTTTTATCATTTATTTACTCATGAGAGACAGAGAGAGACACAGGCAGAGGCAGAGGGAGAAGCAGGCTCTCCGCTAAGCAGGGAGCCCGATGCGGAACTCGATCCCAGGACCCTGGGATCACGACCTGAGCCGAAGACAGATGCTTAACCAACTGAGTCACCCAGGCACCCCTCTCCATGAGCTTTAAATGGAAATGGGAAGCAGCAGTTTATGAAGCTTTGTCAGCAAGACCAAAAATGGCTTACTAAGAAACAAAACTTCAGAGAAGGCCGAAGCATTTGTGCAACAAGGATATACACAGAATACATATGACTTGACAGAAGTTTGAATAGGAAGAACTTATTTTAAAAGCTTTTATATCAGAATATCCCTGTATTTATGGAGTAGGGGTTTTGACAGGATTACAAAGATTTACTCATTTTATGGAAGCAATTACATTACATCATAGATTTAACCATGTTGATGTCTTAGTTCAAAGCAAACGGACATCTAAACTTCCTCTGATAACACATAAACCCAAAAAGGAGGACACAAAATATCCTTCTGATTTGTAAACTGCAAACCAAACCAAACCAAACAAGAAAAAAACCATAAAATCCAAAAAACCCAACTAGATAAACAACCTCAGAAACTACCCCAATTGGGGGGGAAAAGTGACAGGTATTTGAAATCAGGGTCAAGCTGGAAAATCAGGGATGGACGGTGATTAGGACTGAGCCGCAAAACAAACCAACCCTCATGACCTCAGCTAGCATATTCACAGGCAATAGCCTCTGGGCCAACCCACTGCCTCTTCCCCTTCTGTAGTTTTCTCTCCGTAAATCCGAACGATTCACCTGCCTGGTCTTTCCGCTATATCCTCAGTTCCTTCACCTGTACTTTGTTTCTCCCCAGAGCCACTGTGAGGCGGAAACAGTTTCCCAATTTCTTCCCTCCCACACCCTATGTCCTAATCTAGGTGATGGCCACACAGGTGTATACACAGGTAAGCAATCACCCGTTTAGTGAAAGCGTCAACACATACTTAAGATGTGTGCGCTTTACTGTACATCAGTTATGTGCTTAAAAAAATTCCTCTTAAAAAATCATTCTGTATTCCAGGGGTGCCTGGGTGGCTCAGTTGTTAAGCGTCTGCCTTCAGCTCAGGTCATGATCCCAGGGTCCTGGGATCGAGCCCCGCATCGGGTTCCCTGCTTGGCGGGAAGCCTGCTTCTCCCTCTCCCACTCCCCCTGCTTGTGTTCCTTTCTCACTGTGTCTCTCTGTCAAATAAATCAATAAAATCTTAAAAAAAAAAAAATCGTTCTATATTCTAGGGGCACCTGGGTGGCTCAGTCATTAAGCATCTGCCTTCAGCTCAGGTCATGGTCCCAGGGTCCTGGGATCGAGGCCCGCATCGGGCTCCCTGCTTCTTCCTCTCCCGCTCCCCCTGCTTCTTTTCCCTCTCTCGCTGTGTCTCTGTCAAATAAATAAGTAAAATCTTAAAAAAAAAAATCGCTCTGTATTCCAGATTTAAAAGATAAACAGAGAAACCTGCGTAATAACATTATATCAGACATTTCTCTGAGTTAAATGGAAGTAGGCTATAAAACTAAATGAACACTGTGACTGCAGCTTTGAAAACACTGAGTAAGGGGGGGAACTAAGTTTTGAGTTTTTGTGCTATGGTAAGGTGTAGATGTTCTATAATATGACTATATTATTTTTACAATAAAAAATAAACACAATGGACTGAAATATGAATAGTAATCTATTTTAGCAGAAACTTGACTCTGTACACGGGATATTTAAATACCTGCTCAAATTACATATATCATTTTATTATCTAACTGAAACTTTTAAGTAAAATAATCACTAATTTTAAAATTAAAGTTAAGGGCCAGATGGAATTAGATATGGAAATGTTGGATATAAAGACTTTTTTAAAAAGATTTTTATTTATTTGAGAGAGAGAGAGCATGAATGAGAGAGCACAAGCAGGGGGAGTGGCAGAGGGAGAGGGAGAAGCAGACTCCCTGCTGAGCATGAGCCTGATGTGGGACTCCATCCCAGGACCCTGACCTGAGCCAAAGGCAGATGCTTAACCAACTGAGCCACCCAGGCGCCCTGGATATAAAGACGTTTTAAAGAATTTTTAAGATTCTGTGAAGTGAGGCACATTTATACTGTTTAAGCTTTCTGAGGTGAATATTCTTTCAAATTACAATTACTGGAGCAGTAATTTAATTTATTGGAGACCCAATTTATGCAGACTGGATGTCAATCAAATGAATATCATCAGGAGCGCTGGAGAAATGTTTCTTGTTTCAAAATGTGTGAGGATGAATCCCTTCCAATGAGTAACTTCCAAAGATCTTGGGTCCCTTTAAGGCACTGAAAGTGGCTTGAAAGTCTTGACCATTTTTTTTTTTAAGATTTTATTTATTTATTTGACAGAGAGACACAGCGAGAGAGGGAACACAAGCAAGGGGGAGTGGGAGAGGGAGAAGCAGGCCTCCCGTGGAGTACAGAGCCCAATGCGGGGATCAATCCCAGGAGGCTCGATCCCAGGACCCTGGGATCATGACCTGAGCTGAAGGCAGACACTTGACTGAGCCACCCAGGTGCCCCGAAAGTCTTGACCATTTGCACTAACCCCCACTTTCAGCTACTTCATATCTGGATGGCTGAAGATCCACTCACCTGCTATTGGCCTGGGAGGTGAGGGTGCCATTCTGTTCGGGTGGCGTCTCTGCTGGTTTGGATTTGAAGTAATTGACGAATCCCCCAAACATGCTCTTAATGCTGTTAATGTGCTTCTGGCTTGTCTTCAAATCTTGATCCATCTTGTCCACCATCTTCTCTGTGCGTTCTAAGACACCTCGCTGACGATCAAGCTCCTGGGGAAAATGAGAGGTGATGGCATTACACCGTTTTGTAATTTTCCCCTCTGCAGGGGACCACACACAGGTTTGTCCCGAGCCCTCAGAGAGCATGTATGGGGACAGATGCTGCCATCTGTGAGGGAACATTACCCCTTCTGACAACACATTCCTTTGCCCTTCCCTGTCCGGCTTCTATTGGCTTTCTTTCTTATTTGCTCCCGAGTTCTTTTCCCTCTTGCCCACGTGAGGCTGGCTCACAGGACCATGTTAAGACGGACGGGCCTGGACTGGCGGCACATCCTTTAGCCCTCCCCCTTTCCTGGCCCCCGTGAACCTTACAGGCTTTGACCTGGTACTGCCCCCGTGGACTATGGCTCTTGTACTCCCCCCTTTCCAGATATGGGATTTCCATTGGGTCACCGGAGCCACCTGGCCCTGGTCACGCCTTCAAATTATTTCACAGGCTAGGTGCTGGGTCCTTTCTGGGCCCTGTTAATATCTGATTCCAACTCACCCACAGTTTCACCTTTAAAACCTCTAACAAAGGTGATTCCGCCCCAGACCTTTGTACATGCTACTCTCTGCCTGTGATGATCCTCATCCAGATACCTGTACAGCTCTGCTCCTCATTGAATTCAGGTCTCTGCTCAGAGGTTACTTCCTCAAAGAAGTCTTCCCTGAACACCTTCTCTAAAGTAGAACTTTTTTTACCCTCAACGTACCCCTCTACACCCCCAATCTACTTTAGTTTTTAGAGCATGCAAGCTCCATGAGGCAGGGACCCGCTTTGTTCACTGGGTCCCCAGTGTCTCACTCAGAGCAGTGGCTTGCTGGACTGCCAAAGGACAAGTGGATGATGCTCTGTGGCCACAGGGACAGCCTAGATCATATTCCTCAAGAGCCGATGGTTCTGGGGGCGCCTGGGTGGCTCAGTCAGTTGGGCGGCTGCCTTCGGCTCAGGTCATGAGCCCAGAGTCCCAGGATCAAGCCCCATGTCGGGCTCCCTGCTCAGTGGGGAGCCTGCTTCTCCCTCTGTTCCTCCCCCTGTTCATGTTCTCTCTCTCAAATAAATAAAACTTAAAAAGAAAAAAAAAAAAAAGAGCTGATGTTTCCAGCAGTGGATGTGAACTCACCACCACAGTAACACTAACACCTTCCTTTCTTCGTGCCAAACTTGTTTTGCCCCTATCTCAGGCCATTCCAGCTGTGTTCCTTCTCTGTGATCCACCTTTCTAGCCCAGAGACTCTCAAGCTTTTCCTCTTTTATTTTGTGAGGCAGTCCCTGACCTCCACCACCTTTTGAATCTTCCAATCCTGCATCTGTCTGTGGCTCAGCAGTTATATTACCTGTGGCAGATAATCTTTAGAGATTTCTCTCTTAATACCTTAAAACAGAATCATGAACAATTTTTGAATAAACGCCTCCGACAATTGAAGGATAAAAAGGAAAATATACATAATGGGTTTATTAGAGCCCGTTTTACTTATAAAAATGTTAGTAGAAAGCTTTTAGAACACTTAGGGACCCAAAAAGTAATCTGAGCTCTCAATGTTTATAGTGGATGAAATTTTAAAATATAATGTATAGGCAGAAAACAAAAAAATCTTTGGAAATAAACTTAGAATTGCTGAGCTTTACAGCTTTGAATGTTTAAATGTTTTTCACCAGCTCATGAGACACGTCTGAAGAAACCATCAGGTTCTTTTAAACAAAAGGAAAAATCTTTTCTGGACTGTGTCATTCTTGCAAATGCCTGGACTGTGTCAAAACTCAGTTTCAGAAGAAAAAAAAAACAGTTATTAATTTATCTAGAGTTTTCTCCTTTTTCCAACAGCTCAGGTTTGTCATCTTCATGTCCATTCTGAGGTAAGTCTTTCCTGGAATAAGGCAAGGCTCTAAATTAGGGTTAAAATGATTTTCTCCAGCATTTACGTGTTTTTTGAGTTGATATATTGCCAACAGTCCAGTCCCACCACCTTATTTCCCCTGCTGCAGAAGATGAAGAATATGAAGCAGGAGAGGTGCCTGGCTGCCTGGGGTGGGTGCTGGCCAGGGCTCTGTCACACCAGGAGCCAGGTCCTCGGCCTCCCTGACAGTGCAGTCTCTCGTGGTGGCTCATCTCACCAACCACCTGCCCTCTTGCTTTGGCCTCCCGACCTCAATTTGGAGAGTAGCAGCAGTAACAAGTAGCTGACAAAACCTTCCCCAATTCACAGTGAGATCTTATTTTCTTCTGTTCACAAGTGACACAGTCTCTCAAACTCCGAGTGTGCATCACTGCGCTGACTTGGTAAGGAAACCAAACGTCTGACTTAGATGTTACAATCAAAGTGAAGAGAAATCTGTGAGGGTGGCAGGCCACGGAAATGAGCACTGTTCTGGTCTCTGGAAGTTTCTGTGAGCTGGAAGCTGGTGTTCACTGGAGGTGATCTGGTCAGGAGGCCAGCAGAGGAGGAACTTCTGCTGAAATCCATCCCATGAGGAAGAAAGCACCAGGCTCCAAGTGCTTGGTTCTAACTAATGAGGAAGAAGGGCTTGCCAGAGCAAATACCAGGAGTGCCAGGGTGGGAAGGACAAGCTAGGAAGACCCTGCACCAGCCATTACAAAGGCAGGCCTCAAATACTCCAGTCCCCAGACATCTTCCTGTCCCCCAAAAGGGAGGCCATGCATATCATCATTGGTCCCTGGGAGAATGGAGATCATGGAGAAACAAGGGCGGCTATGAGGGGAAGGAGCTCCAGAGAGTACCCTCAGTGTAAAGGGCACACATGCAAAGCTCAGATGTTAGTATTACAGGTGATCCACCCCCACCCCCACCTTAAGCGCTAAAAGGAGTTTTCTGAAGTTAAACAGGAAAAAAGGAAATGGTCAGAGAAAAAAATCCGGTTGGGCCAGTGGTACTATGCTGAGGAACAGCACAGAGAGAGGGGGTGTCTCAATTCCCCTTTGGTTTGTGGCTCTTTGTCAAACAAGGATTCCTAATAAAGCAAGAGAATGCAAAAGACGGGGCGCCTGGGTGGCTCAGTCACTGAGCGTCTGCCTTTGGCTCAGGTCATGATCCCACAGTCCTGGGATCGAGCCCCACATCGGGCTCCCTGCTCCGCGGGAAGCCTGCTTCTCCCTCTCCCACTCCCCCTGCTTGTGTTCCCTCTCTCACGGTCTCTCCCTGTCAAATAAATAAATAAGATCTTCAAAAAAAAAAAAAAAAGAGAGAGAGAGAGAGAGAATGCAAAAGACAGCTGAAGACCCTGTGAGGGTATACTCTGTCCTCCATGGGGTGACTTCTGGCCAGATGGATTATGTCCCAGGGCCCTGTGAGAATGTGAACACATCAGGGACTCCCTGCTGATAGAAAATATGCACAGAAGGACAGAGGTGTGCAAGATACCCACCAACAGGTATTATTCTGCCAGCCACTGTTCCAAGTACTAGGGATTCAGGGGTGAACTAACCAGCCCCAGATCTCTGCCCTGCCAGAGCTTACAGTCTTGGTGGAGGGCTCAGTGAGTCAAGTTTCATTTCACTTTTCATTTGTTGACAACCCTGTGGTGCTGGGAATCCAGAGTTGGGGAGGAAGACAAGAAAGCTATCCTACACATACATGATGGCCACTCTGCCAGTAGGGGCTCCTTGCCTGGCTTAAGGGGAAGTCAGGGAGGCTCCCTGATGGGGTGGCGTTGAAGGGGAAACTGAAAGCTGAGAAGTTAGGTAGGCAAAGGATGGGGGGTGGGGTAAGAGAATCAGGGCAGAGGGAGTAGCCCATGTGCGCAGCAGTTCTGGGCCGCGGGGCCAGCTGGGGGAACTGAGAGAGGGAGAGGAACGTGAGCATGAGATGAGGGAGCAGGCAGGATGCCAGGCAGGACCCAGCAGGCATCAGAGAGGGCAGCAGTGACCACAAGATCCCAACTCCAATTCACAGCTGATACATCTCATAAGGTCAGTTGGGCCTGGTTGTCTTCCCTGACCGAGTCAGGCCCCGAGATTCGGAAGGAAAATGTCAGTGCTAAGGTTCCTGTACTGAACTCATAATTAAACTCAGGGATCCAATAATAAGTAGGTGGAGGTCAATCTGGAGTCAATAAGCTGAACCTAGAAACCTGAAGTTCATCTCCTTCATGTCACTCCCTTTCCAGTGCAACACACGTGCCTAAGCACCGGCAGGGACACATGAGCGTGGAATATGCTCAAACTGGGGCTCTGTCTCACTGTAGTAGTATGGAGTGGATTAAAAACACAAACGGAGTCTTAGGTTGCATGAAAAACCACCAAGGGCAAAGGCAGTGATGCTGGTGCTCTTTACTGCCTGTGTGCAGGCTGACCCAGGCTCACTAAGGACTAACTCAGCAGGCCTGGGCTGTCCACACCCTCTATGTTCCAAAGAAAGGCCTTGCCTGACTCCTGGCCCTTATATTACCCTGATAAGAGTATCTTTGTTTACCTGAGTCCTTAGGCTAGGCCAGATAGTTTATACTCATAGTGTGATTTACGTGGGAGCCTTGAGCCACATGCTTGACCTCTGAAGGGGTTAAACAGTAAGGTCTGCCAGTCGGGCAGGTGGTCAGCCATGCCTACGTGGTTGTGTGATGGCCTACCAAACACCACTCCCGTCCCATTGACGTTACTGTGACAGCCATGCAGGCCCTGGTCTAACATTTATTGCTGGACTCCCCTGAAATGAGATCCCAGGCTTCACAAAACTGTACAGGAGCATGCTCAGCTGCCAGAGGGGACAAGGAACTCTGGGCAGCCATGTCTCCACAGGCTTGCCCAAACGTGCAAACAACCCAAATGCCTATCATTAGAGGAATGGCTACATAAATACAAGTCATCCATTCAGTGGAATACGACACAGCCTTAAAAACAACAACAAAAAGATCAGTGCATTATATATTACCAGGGAATAACCTTCAATCCTATTAAAAAATGTACAGACTAGAATATATAGAATGCAACCACTTAAGTTAAAATTGAAAGAAAAAGGAAAGGACTATAGCTACGTCTCTATCCACAGAATATCTTCACAAGGACACTGAAGGAACTGACGGTAACTGGCTGCCATGGGAGTAGAGGGGTGGGAGGAAACTTCCTACTCTTCTGTACGTTTTAAATTTTGAACTATGTGATTGCATATCGCTTCACAAAAGCTAAACCTTAGGTAAAAGAAAAGATAAATAAATCACACTTGCAAAACAGAAGAGCTGAGTGGCCTACAAGACTCTCCACGGTTCTGGACTGTGCTTACCAGGCCAGCTAACTACGAACTGCTGTGCTCTAGTTCTGTCCCTTGGCAGTCATGACCTGTGGCTATATTCTTTGTGAGAAATAAATCTTGTCAGGTTTCACAGGAGGAGGATGACTCTCCTTCACTTAGGATGACCTAAGTAATTTTCCTACTTCTGCCAAGCTGGAACTGAATGGTATCTTCCCAAACTAATATTTGTACATTCCTAACCCTCTATAAAAACCTATCATGTTTTCGCACAGCTCAGCGCTGGGTCTCTAAGTAGGGAGGTTAGCAGGTGACTTGGGTCTGCTGGAAGCCACACTGTACACTGAGTGGCAGGAAGAGCTCACCAGCCCCAACCTCAGCCCCATTCCCATCCCCATTCTGACTGGAATCAAAGACTGATTCGAAGGCAGTTTGGAGAGTACAGAGTGGGATGGGGAGGGGGTGCTGACCATTCCCGCCTCCCAGGGCCTCTGATGACTGGGAACTGACTCAATCCTGGAAAAATTCAGTGTCACCACACTGATGATGACAGTGCCTGTCACCTGCCCAGTCATGATCATACTGCACCTCTCAGAACACCAACTTGGCCCAGTCCAAGCCTCACAGGCTTGAGGTACCACTCTGCCTCTGTTCTCACTGTCCCCCTTGCATAGAGAGAAGGGCCTTTGGGGGCAGCATGGGGGGGTGTCACCACAATCCATGTGAAACCACTCACCTCTAATATGTTTTTGAGTCTCCTTCCCTCTGAAGGACAGACTTTCCCCTGCCCACGAAAGGCTCCTAAGCTGCCTCCTCTGGGCCTTTTCTTTGAACATATCCTGTGCATCACTTCCCTACTGGAGCCCAGGAACCCTGTAGTGGGCCATTGTCTTTGCACGGCTCCTCTCTGCCCTATGAATATTCCTCCTACCCTTCTTCCTCTCCCTCCTCCTCACTCCTGTCTAAATCTTAGCCTTAAAAACCAGATTCGAGTTTCTCCTCTGCCATGACATCCTACTTTGTATCATTCTGATTTCCTATTTCATTTGTTCTCACTGTTTCCAGAGATGTCCCTTCAAACCGTTCTTACTTGGCTTCCTTGGACCTGAGACCCTCAAGTAACTCCTCCACTAGGGCCCTAAGACCTTAGGCAATCCTCCCAAATCTTAGTCAACATTTGCCATTTTAGACTCAAACATAGGAATCCAGTAGATATAAGATGTGAGAATTACAGCTAAACTTCCTTAAGGAAGCCAAAGATAGGAAAATAGGCCAATGAGGGATACTGTACTGTAACAGTGGGGAAGGAAACGGAAGTGGGGAAGGAAAATAACCAGGAAAGTGGCAATGGGGATATGACCCAGATGACTATTTGAGAAATTAATCAACATGCCTCAAACTGCCCAAGATTGTAAGTGATCAGGTCAGAATGAACTGTGCCAGAGAAAAGAGTTACAAAGAGACCCATGGAGGAAGACAACACTCCAGCTTCCAGTACTAAGTTTCAAAGCTACAAATGCTTTAGATTGTTAGCTGATATACCAAAGATCTACTATTACATTTTTTAAAACTTAAAAAAAAATGCCCAAACAAAACCATTTCATTAGTAGGCTGAGGAAGAAATGTGGTGCCTAAGAAAGAACAATCCTCACATAGGGTCCCTGAAATCTCCCATGGGTGGAGAGACGAAGTGACAAGGGGGAGTCGGAGAAATGGACTGTCACAAACCATATGCTATCTAGGACATCTTCATTTGGATTTGGGAAGTAAAAGTTAGGCCGTAGACTTGACCAAACTTGGGCTATGGCTTACTCAGCAGCTGCCCAGACAGACCTCATCACCTCTACCGGTGAGGTGAAGTGGTCAGATATAGGAAAAACTCAAGGCCCATTTGCTCTGATGCTTCACACACCATCAGGCACAATCCTCATCCATTCTGGGTCACTCGGGGAGGGATGGTTAAAGCTCTGGATCTGGGATTCTGAGCAGGTAATTATAAGAAACAGACACTCCATTTCCCTAACCCGAGTTCTACTAATAGCTAAGGAATATTACAGGGGGCAAACTGCCTCTTTCAAGTACTCAAGACACACACCTCTTTGTATAGCTAACGTTTCTTGACCTCGTGTGACAATTCAGCCTAGTTGGGCCGTCCTGCCCTGCTCCAGACTCACCTCGGCAGAGGCGACGCCGACCCTCTCGGACTCGTATACAAGGGAAAGGGACCTGTCGGTGCTGGCGGCCGCGGCCTGGGCCCTGCGCATCACCTCCTGCCGCAGGTACTGCTGCCTATCCACGGGGGCTCCGGGCCCATCCGGGAGGTCGCGGTCGTCCTTCCACACGGCCGGCCGGGCACCCTCATCCTCCGCATCGTCGTCGAATGGGTTGTAGCTTTTGGGGTAGGCCGACATGGTGCCGGCGCTCGTCTGGGTCTGGACAGGAGAAGGAGGAAGGTGGCCAAGGCGAGGAACGGCCTTTCCGGGCCCGCAGGGATCCAAGTCGACCTCCCGAGGCCCTCGGGAAGAGCCCACGGATCTACAGCGCCGCGCTACTCCCCTCCACCCCCCAGGTCGCGGAGCGAACTCCTTCCGCCTGTCTCCCGCGGGAGGCCCCGCCTCCGGAGCTGACCATCTTATCCCGAGGCTTGGGGGGGCGCCACGCCCGGTGCGCGCGACCGCAGCCTACCGCTCGGTTTCTCTCTCCCCTCCAGCGGTGGAATCGCCCCGCGGCCACGCCCCACCGACTGTCGACAACAGAGGTCACGTGGCGGGGAAGCCGGATGCCGCCGCGCCTGCGCCGTGAGCTCTGGCGCTCGCAGGCCGGGTGCGGGAAGCCCGCGGGCAGCGCCGCCGCGCGCGCGATGATGGCGGCGGCCGCGGCCCGGGGAAGCGGAGGCGGCAGCAGCGGCGGTAGCGGCGGCGGCGGCGGCTCCAGCTCCGGCTCCAGCGCCTCGCGGGGCTTCTATTTCAACACGGTCTTGTCATTGGCCCGCTCCCTGGCCGTGCAGAGACCGGCATCTTTGGAGAAGGTAGCCTTGGCCGCTCGGGCCGCAGGCTGACATGAGAAGGGGTATGGGGTGGCGAAGCGGTAGGCGGGGCGAGGGTCTGTGGGAGGCCGAGCGGGGCTTTCGAGCTGCCTGTGACAGGAGGGGGTACATGAGCGGAGGGAGCTGGCGGGGTGAGGAGGCCCATGGGCGGAGGGCGCTGGTGAAGAGAGGGGGGGTCATGGGGGTGGCGTGGACAGGGCAGGTGGGGACTTTGCGGGTGGGTGGCGTGGGAGGGACGTGAGCTACAGGCCTGGGTTTGAGTCGAGGGCGGGGGCGGCAGGCACGGAGAAGCAGCGGGAAGAGCGGAGGACCAGAGTCAAAACCTGGGGCTCTGCTCCCGACTTCCTCTGCTTTTTTTTCCGTGACCTTGGAGACATGCTGTTCTCGTTAAATGGGGGTGCTTACCTACCTTTCCCGCTTCACATTGTTGTGAAGGGCAGATGAAATAGTACATCTGAAAGTGCTTTCTGAAGTGCAAATCCGCGCGTTATTTTTCTGTGAATCTAGAGGGGGCGTTAGACTGGGTAAAAGAGATTGTTTTGAAGAAGGGACAGTGGCAGGGAAGGGGGAATGAACTGTCAGTGGGCAGAGAATTATAGTATCATAGTATGTTAGCACTGAAGGGGTGATATTCTTTTCTTTTCCTTTTCTTAGATTTATTTATTTATTTGAGAGAGCGCGCGCGCATGTGCGTGTGCACGGTGGAGAGGGTCAGAGGAAGGAGAGAGTCTTAAGCGGACTCCGGTGCTGGGCTGGATTTCACGACCCTGAGATCCGGCCTGGAGCTGACACCAAGAGCCGGCTGCTCGATAGACTGTGCCACCCAGGCGCCCCAAGGATGGGATTCTTTTTTCATACAGTTTCTGGCAGGTTGAAAGAGATCTGTTGTCTAAGAGTAGGAGAAAAGTGGTGGAGACTGGAGACCTGTCTGCTGCAGTTGAGAGTAGTTTTATGGGGGCGCCTGGGTAGCTCAGATGGTTAAGCGTCTGCCTTCGGTTCGGGTCGTGATCCCAGGGTCCTAGGATCGAGCCCCGCGTGGGGCTCCCTGCTCGGTGGGGAGCCTGCCTCTCCCTCCTCCTCCGTTGCTACCCCTCCTGTGCTCGCTCCCTCTATAAAGTAAATAAATAAAATAAATATATATAAAAGAGTAGTTTTGTGGCTCTGGTGAGGAGTGAGGCTGAAATGCTGTTAGGCTCTCTGGCATAGTGTCCTTGGCTTTGTTATTTCTTAAGTCTGATTTCTCACTTACCTGCAGGATGAGGAGGTCCTGGGAGATTGATGCCAACTTGACTTCTAATTGAAGGAGGAATTCAAAAGAATGGAAAGTATATGAGTTCTAGAGATAGGAACACCTGAATTTAAATCCTGTATCATTTGCTTACGTTAGTGTGACTCTGGGTAGATCAGTTCTCCAATCTGAACCTTGGCTTTCTCCTGCAAAATACAAGGACAGTACTTGTTAAGAGTATTATGAAGATCAATAAAATGACACATGAGTACCTAATGATTGAGAACTGTTATCATTGAATGAGCCTGACTAATGGACCACAGTGCTGGCTTATCAAATCAAATTCATGCCTGCTAGTCAGCACATTCTATTCTTAGTAGGAGGACTAAAAAGCATATCAGAAGTTTGCCTGCTGGACTTGGACAAGAGAGAAGAGATTGTAGGGAATTGGGTGAAGACAGTCCTGCAGCTCTAGCAGGGCACCCTTTCCCACTCAGTAATTCTGAGAAATGCACCTTAAGCTCAACTGGCCTTCTTCAGTCTTCTTCCATAATCACAAGAACATTCTGTAATTGCAACATTGTTAGCTTTGTATCTTATAGTAACTGCTTTAGTTGTCAAAATTAGGATAAGTTTCACAACTCATTAATATAGCTTTTAGGTTGGCAGCTTCCCAATACTATCTCTTAGTTTGGGAGATACTTCAGTTTCATTGGCAACATTTACAAATCACTTTAGAAAAGAGTTAACAGAGCCAGCCTGAGGCTGCAATCTTTAGAAGGGATTGCTTGCAAGGTTGGTCCTTGGCTTACATCTGGGAACTTGACACTTGAACTGTTCCCTCCATTTTCTAATTGATAAGGGTGGTTCATTGTGCCTAGACTCTTAACAAACAATATGATTGCCTGCTTTCCTCCTGGGAATCTGGAATTTTGATGGCTGCTAAGCAGACTGTGCCTGTGTCTATCAATAAAAACCTTGGATGCTATGTCTCTAATGGACTTCCCTAGGTACAAACATAACATACATGTTACTACATTGTCTGCTGCTGTAGAAGGGAGCATGCTGGGTGTATACCTTCACAGGAGGGAGAGAACACGAGGAAGCCTATGCACAGGTTTCTCCAGAGTCCACCTGTCTTTTTCTCTTGCTGATAAATTCGCTGTAATACAATTTACTGTAATTTAGCTATGAGTACAACTGTGTATGTGTGGGTAGTCTTGGAGACCCTGAAATAATTTCTTTCTTAAAGAAGGCTTTTGTAGGTGGCTGATTCCATCAGATATATGTGGACTCCTCTTATTCTCATTTGGGATCTTGAGACTTCATTATGCTAGGGGTCATTGCTACTATTTAGTCATATAATATATGGCTGTTTACTACATCCCGCTACTTTAAAACAATTGGCAATAAGCCCTCAGCATTCCTAGGGAAGTATTCTTGAGGTTCTTAAGAGTAAAGGAATTTCTGAGTACCCACCAGGATAATGAAGGTGGGGACTTAAGTGGGGAGATGAGTGTTGGTATGGTTTTCCATACCATGGTTTTTCAACAAAAACCTCTCTTTCTCATTTATTTGTTTCTGGTTTCTTTCTCCTTTTTTTCCAGAGAGAAGGCAGAGGACTGAGTGGGGCTTGGTCCAGATAGGGTTGGGCTGAGATTACCTCAGTTTTCTGAGCTAGACCTGCCATCTCAGCTCAGACATGGGTGACTCAGGCAGCCTTGACATGCTTTTATGGCACTTGGGGCACATTAACGACATAACTTTCCCTGTCTTTGTCTATCTACATGCCACAGTGGTGTTTCCTTACTCCACTCACATCCCAGGCTGTGAAAGCTAGGCTATTGCTACTAAGTAAATTTTATTTTTCCTTTAATTAATTCACTCATTCAGGAAACATTTGTTGAGCACCTACTGTTAATTAATACACACTAGGTAGGCCAGATCAATAAGAAACAGTGTTAGTGAGATTGCTCAGGTGATCAGCATCAAGTCAGACTTGCTGTAAGTACCCGATCTACTCTTATATCACAGGTCTGGTGACCAGACTCCTGCCATGTTCAGATAGTCAAACCCAAGACTCCTTGGTGTCAATTCTCTGATCCATATCTGAGTTTTGACCTTTTCCTGTTAGGCTGCCCTTAAGACTGGAACCGCAGCCCTAAAGCCCACCCTCAGGATTGTGAGCCACCCTGAGGACATCATTTGTGTTTCTCGAGATCACGTCTCACACAGCCCTCAGCCCTCTCCCTCTGGGAGAAAGGTGAGAGGAGAGAAATAGAGAAGAGAGCCCTGTCTACAGTGGAATCTCCAAGTATGATCGGCTTCCAGTCTCGCTCTCTCCAATTTCTTTCTGCCTGCTAGTCTTGCTCTGCTCTCCTCCTCCTCATCTGTCTTCAGAATGTTACTGAGCCGCCCCTGTCAAGCTTCCTCCTGGATCTTCCTGGTTATACTCCTCTGTGTCTAGGATATTGGTGACCTGTTTCTGCCTTTCCTCGTCTGGCCTGTACCATACTAATGGACCCTGAACCCTGGGATATGGAGAGTTCCTGGCAGAGCTGAAAAGTAGGCAGCATTCCTGCTCTCCCACCCCTCTTTCCACCCTCAGGAGGCTCTGATCAGAATCTTTTTCATGTCCTAAAATATCCTCTCTTTTCTTTGGTTAGAATGCTAGAATCTTGAGGTGCCTTAGCTAACTCGATGTGGTGTTTAAATGGCACTGCAGCATTAGGGACATTCCAGAGCCTCCCTGGTGGACCGATGTGCTCCAGAAGATGAGCTGGTTAACTCTTATCTCTCATTGGAGGAACATCTGTTCTGATGCTCAGGGCAGTGGGCTTTCTGGAATTCATGGTTATCCACTCCTTTAGGGTGGTTTGCTATGGAGTAAAAACCATGGTATTGGCATTTTTTTTTTCCAGCATCGTGAAGCTGAAAATTTCCATCCTCACTCCCTTTCCTTTGTGAGGCCGTGTTAAAAACAACCATCTATAGAGTAAGGGGAGAGAAAATCAGTGTCAGTAGAGGGAATTCATGATGCTAGAACCACTGTTGTTAAACCAGCTCTAAAATATTTTAAGAAGAAATTGGAAGAAGAAAAAAATCTTTACCTGTAATCATGCCACATTAACTATATTACATTAACTATATTAGGTTGCTAGGGCTGCTGTTAACAAAGTACAACAACGACTTAAACAATAGAAATTTATTTTCTCATAGTTCTGGATGCTGGAAATCCAAGATGAAGGTGTCAGCAGTGCTGGTTTCTTCTGAAGCCTTTCTCTTTGGCTTGAGATAGCTGTCTTCCTGTGTCCTCACATA